CTTGCTAGTATAGATTACTAGGCCGTTCCTTTTGTTGTTGTTGGAAGAGACTCATTCAATGTCTTTTGTGATGGGTCTGTCCAAATTTTCTCCCTTAGATTGTTAGTTTGGGTAAGTATATATATATAGATATATATAGGTTTTCAAATTTGTTAAGTTCTTAATAGTATTCTATTATTATCTTTTTTATTTCAGTTGTTTCCTTTATGACATCACCAATTACATTTCTTATTCATGTTATTTGCATCTTCTCCTTCTTTCCACATTAAAGTTTCCAAGGGATTGTCAGAACCTACTCCTGCAAAGAACCAACTTCTTACCTGATTGGTTCTTTTTATTTCTTTATTGCCTTTTGTTTCTTTTTTTTCCTTTCTCCCAAATCGTTATTATTTCCTTTCTTCTGGTCACTATCTTCTTCTTTTGCTAATTGTTGGAGATGTTGAGTTAAGGTGTTGATTTGGTTATTTTTTCTCTTTTGGTGTGTGTTATAATACTATCACTGTCCTCTCAGAACTGCTTTTGCAGTGTCTCAAAGAGCACGATATGTTGTATTTTTACTTTTGTTTGATTCAAGGAATTTTAAATTTCCATTTTTAGTTCCTTTACTAACCAGTAGTTTTTAAGTCCATGTATTTCATACCCACCACTCTTGATCTTGCTGTTGTCAATTTCTAATTTTATAGCATTGTGAGGGACTAAATGCTTTTTGTGTATTTTGACATTTTGAATTTTCATTGAGGCTTGCTTTCGGCTAACATATGGTCTGTTCTGGAGAATGCTCTGGAAGAGCTTTGCTGGGTGGAATGTTCTGTCTGTAAGATCAACTTGGCTGATTGTGATGTTTAGATCTTTTTCTATTTCTTTCTAATTGTTCTGTCCTTCACTGAGAATGGAGTATTAAAGTGTCATACTATTATTGTAGAGCTTTCTATTTTTCTTTTCAAATGTGTTAAGGTTTGATTTATTATATTGGGGTTCTTTCATTGAGTGAATAGATATTCAGTATGGTTATGTCTTCTTGTTGGGTTGACCTTTTAATCATTATACAACGTCCTCCCTAATCTCTTTTGTTGGTTTTTGCCTGAAAGCCTAGTTTATCAGAAATTAATATTGCTACTCTTGCTCTGTAAGGAAAAAAATTTAAATACTTTTATTGGGACCTCTCTTATCACAATCCATACATTCATCCAGTGTGTCAAGCACATTTGCCATCATCATTGTTAAAGCATTCTTTTCCCAATTGAGCCCCTGATAATCCCCATTTCTTCTCCCTTCCTCTACTGCCCACTCTCTCTCACAAACCCTTGATAAATCATAGATTATTATTTTCATATCTGTAAAGAATATTTTAAAGTGCATACCTCACAAGGACAAGAAACAGAACAATAAGAAGAACATTTCAGAAACTGGAAAATCCTGCTCTCCTATTTCTTGTTCTACAAGGCAGCCACTTTTATCTTTTACCCTGTATCTTTCGATAATTACTTTCAGATTCCGAGGTCGTAAGCACATACTATTGCTTCTTGATTTATTTGCTTTACAGAGTATTTATTGACTTTCTTGTGTGGTTGTTGATTTTTATTTTTTTTCTCCACTTCTCTTCTCCATTCTCCCAAAAGAATTACTTTTTCAGTTAAACCTGTAGCTCGTGTTTACACTGTGCGACCATAAATATTGTTTACTGCTGAGTCAAGTAACAGGCATTGATTATTGTGGATTTTGATTATTGTAGGCATTGATTATGTAGATTTTAATGGAGTTCATTATTTCATTTTGGATTTTTGCTCCTTAATTTTTCAATGTATATAGTGCTTGCTTATTCCTAATGCCTGACCAGATCTGTCAAATGATAGCACGAATAGTTCCAAGCTTTCTAGCTCACCACAGAATCCATTGTGTCTCATTCATGGACCTCCCTCTCAGAATTCTATCTTCTTGCTGTCATCTAGGTAGGTCACTCTCTAGCCCAGACCCATGCTGAGCTTCTTTAGCCATTCTGATTTTGGATCGCTTTTGAAAGTGAACTTGCTAATGCTAGCATTAATATTTTAAACAACCCTAAATTATTAAAATATACCGCTGTTGTGTCCTGGATTTGCCAGCTTGTGAGGTCACATCCGGAGAGGTCACATTTGCTTTTGATATCTAAATTATAATAGCTAAATTTTTCACAATTTGAATGTCAGAGCTCAGTGCTATTATCCTTGAGTTAATAGAACTGAGTACTGCTCTGGGTTTTTCTGGGGGTCCCCCAAAGGGATGCACTCATATCCATGTGCCAATTATCATTAAGCATCTGCTATGTTCTTCCTCTTTTACTCTAGCCACGTGGTCAATGTGTATTGCACTGGACACTGTTTGAAGATCACTGCTGATGGTGTATCTCATAAGACACGTTTGTCAAGGGTGCTGTCTTCTGCTAGTGCAACTTCCAAGAACACCAGCAGAGTATTAGGCTTGAAGACATCAGGGAGACTAATTAGGATAACCTGATTCTAACTTCGCATCACCTCTGCCTTAGCCCTCTAAGCCCAGAGTCTCACGAGGTCTCTCAACAAATGATACTTTCGGTTTCTACATTTTGCAGTTTCCTGCTTATTTCCTCATCACTCTACCTCCATAGCAATGACAATCAACAGTCACACCAATGGTGTAGTCCCCCTCTCCATAGGAGCTCGAAGGCCCAAGCACACTGCTCAACTACATCATTTATGATCAAGCCAAGTGTTTAGTATTTGTCTTCTAGTGAGTTTCTCAAACCAGAGAAACATCTTCACAGTGATATATGATGTCTCCTTTCTGGAGATGGATCACTACTTAAAAATTTTAAATGCCAAATCTCTTTTGCGGCTAACGAAGATTTCAAAAACTGGGTATCTAGTTGTGAATCCTTAAATATAGGGGGCTTCAGAATTTTGTAGAAGGTTCTATTATCTTTTAATTTCATTTTCCATGAACTTTTAAAAGTCTCTTCATATGTCCATATTTTGAAAGAATTGTCCTTTTAATCATCTGGAAATTTTTTGGTGATATCTGGAGATCATGAACTGAGATGAAAATACTAAATATTTCAGACTTTTTACTAATTTGACTTGTGTTTTGTCTAAAATTTGCCTGCCTTGTTGAGTTAGGCTTTTCAGAAAATATTTGCAAGAAGAATTGCCACCAATGAGGAAAGCTACTCACAGATCACAATAGAGGAAACGTTTTTCCTATGGAGTGTCAAGTCCTACCATGCTGATTGTTTCTGAGCATGTGCAGCCATATAGGAAAGACATTTCAGAGTATGGTACCCAACACCCATCATCATCTTCCCCTGCCTATCTATTTACTACCATTTTCAGGCACAGTCCTTCTCTCTAATATTCCAATTGTTTCCTTTTAGTGGATGAAGATGATTGGGTTCACAATTAGCTCAACTAATAAGAGAGTTTTAACCCAGGTCAATTGGACTTTAAAACTTTTGGCTCTTCCCTGCTTACCACGTTACCTTGGATCATCTTGGGTGGGCAGAGAGATGCCTGAAGCCCCTTCTTTTGCAAAGAAGGGACTGATCTGGGGAAAATGCCCAACCCTGTGGATTGTCTGGAATTTCTCTGTCATGCATAATGGACCCTGGTGGTACACACTCTATGTTGAAGGAGGATCAGGAGAGGATTCCCTTCATATGCAAAGCCTATGCCCAATTTCACTATTCCTCTCTTTTCTTGCTTCCCTTTTTTTGGAAAGAGGCAACATAACTGTGTGCTGATGCAGCGCGTACTTCCATAAGTTATTCAAAAAGATGTGCCAGCTTACCTTTCCGATGATGTCTGTTAACAGTTTGAGGGCCAGAGGATCATGAACCAAGGAGTCCGTGTAAAAGGAGCCAAGATATTTCTTTGGGTTGGTTGGGTTGTCTTGGGCACATAAATCTGGGCGCATACTGAATCCATGGGAGATTCTTCCCACTGTGAAGGGGAAAGCACCACCTGCAAGGAAAACTCGTCACTGAGGGCTGGTGTCGATCAGAAAGGATTCTTTTTAGTACTAATATTGGACGGAAGGAAAAGTTGCTGTAGCCCATTCGATTAATGATATATACAAAGGACCCCACTCTCGCTGCCATTGAGTCAATTCTGCTGTGGAGTGTCTGGTTTTGAACTGCTGGCCTTGTGACAGCCCAATCTATAACCCACTATGGGGTTATACATCCCAGGACTCCATTACAGAGGACCTCCTAGTAGGTACCTAGTAGGTGCCGGATGCTGAGGGATGACCCAGAAGAAATAACACTAACTTGTCTATGAAGAATTTACCCGAAAGAGATAAATGTGAAAAGTTATATGATCAAGATTTCCAAGTATAGTATTGCTGTAACAGTAAAATATAGACACTCCATTGTGGGAAGAGGAGCAAGACAGGGCTTTGTACTCCCATAAAGTTACAGATTTATAAGCTCACAGGGGCAGTTCTACCCAGTCCTATAGGGTTGAGATGAGTTGGCATCAACTTGATGGTATTGAGGTTGGTTTGATTTGTTAGTGAGTAAATAGCTAAATAATGATGAAACACCCATGTCACATATGAAACAATTAAAAAAGAAGGTCGTTAGCAGGTTTGTTGGTATGGAAATGGAAATAGAGTAGGTCTAGAAAACCTACCCACCCGTGGCCATTGAATTAATTCTAACGCATAGTGGCCCCATAGGACAGAGTACTGCTCTTTGGGGTTTCCCAGGCAGTAGATTTTTACAAGCGTAGATAGCCTCTTTCTCCCACAGACAATTGGTGAAGCAGAACAGCTGACTTTGCATTTAACAACCCATAGTGTAACCCACCACAGCACCAGGGCTCCTTAGTTAGAGAACAGCCTGCATAATTTAATCTGTATGTTTGTATGTCCAAGCGTCACGACCTTATTTACCTACAGACACCAGGCAGGCAAGGAACATGAATGAAATAGTTCTATCTGGAAACAGTAAGAGATAGTCGGGAATATGGCCAGCTGGAAAGCTCATGGTCATTGCTAACTCATAGTTACCCTTTATAAAGTTTCCAAGGTTTTGGAAATCTTTCCAGGAGGAGACAGCCTCATCTTTCTCTGGAGGAGTAGCTGGTGGGTTTGACCCATCGGCCTTGCAGTTAGCAGTCCAGTGGTTCCCAAACAGTCCCACTAAGTCTGAATAGAAGGATTTAAATAAAGACAACACCGAACCCTTGCTAATCAAACACGTTTAACCTGGGAAAATGGAATTTCATCTCAAACTGCCATACGCTTTAGGACCACAGTGATGATGGCTTGAAGGCCAGGAGCTTACCTCCATGCGCAAAACACACTTTCAGTTTAGGAAACTTCGCAAACACACCACCCATGATCATCGAGCAAATGGCCATGGTGGTCTCTGTTGGCATTCCTGAAAGAGGAAATAATAATAATAATTTTTTAAAGTGTGGGGCTTGTCCCCTGGAGGGAGAAGCAGCTCAGTGACCTGATCGCTGTGGAATGGGAGCTGTTCGTGAATGACAGTGCCTAGCAATCTGGCCCTCAGCTCTGCGGGTGCTCTAGCACAGTGTGTTTGTATACACACCACAACTTCGGCCTAAGAACCACATGAATATCTTATTTTCCACTTGCAGGTAGAATCATCTAATGGCTAGAACAGTTTTAAGGACCTCAGAGCCAAAGTTTCCTTGTCTGTAAAGCGGGAAAATATTGGCCACCTCGCAGGGCTTTTGTGGAGATTTGCAAAATGACAATGCCAGTAATGTTCCTGGTGACCCCTTTATATTAGAAACGCTTCACAAATGCTTGCTCTCTCTTGGTGCCTCATTTTCCTGTCTGTAAAACAGGACCAAATACTGACTAATTCCTCCCAATGGGTTTCAAAGCGTCAGTGGAAAGTAAGCCCACTGGATAAATGTTTGCTTAGTGAGTTTTTAATAAACATACAATTAGTATTGTTTCTGACAAATTGTTGCTGCCGTTGGAGCTGAGGGTGA